AATTAGTCAGGCATAGTGGCACATGCCTGTAGTCCCAGCTACTGGGGAGGCTGAGGCAGAAGGATCACTTGAGCCCAGGAGTTTGAGGTTGTGAGCTAGGTTGATGCCACAGCACTCTAGCCAGGGCAACAAAGTAAGACTCTGTCTCAAAAAAAACAAACAAACAAACAAAAAAACAAACAAACAACAAAGTGAGTTGGCAGACAAAGAACTAAGATAAAATAAGTAAAACACATTGTAACTGTTCAATGTTATAATATGTAGTACAGTAACAAGTGGTTGCAATGTTACAGAGCTATCCAGGGTGCTACAGGACAATTTAACAGGGGAAACTACCTAGATGGTGGTGGCAGGAGGTTGGATTTTGCTCTCTGAAGGATGCTACCTGGAGGAAGTAATGTGTGAGTTGAGATCTGAAAGATAGCGTGATGGGCAAGATGGTGGGATCCCAACGATCCTGCTTCCCAATATTCAGCTCTTGTGTAGTCCCCTGTCCTTGAGTGTCTGGACTTACTGACTTGTTTCTAACTCACAGATAGGGGGAAGAAGTGATGGAATTTCACTTCCAAAATTAGATTACAAAGAGTCTGTGGCTTTGATCCAGGGCATTCCCCCTTGCTTTCTTAGATTGTTCATGCCAGGAGAAGGACACTGTTGTGTTGTGATTAGCCCTATGGAGGGCCACTGTGGCATGTCCTCAGTCTAACAACCTATAAAGAACTCACACATGTCAACCACCAGGTGAGTGAACTTGGAAGCAGATCCTTCAATATCAGGTGAGTGAGTCTTCAATCCTGGCCAATAGCCTGACTGCAATCTCATGAGAGACCTTGATCCAGAAGCACTTAGGCCGTACCTGGATTTCCGACCCATGGAAGCTAGGAAATAATAAATTTTGTTGCTTTAAGCTGCTAAGCTTGGGAGTAATTTGTTATGCAGCCATAGATAACTAATACAGATAGGAAAGAGTTATTTGGGTGAAAGATGGCAAGAAGAGCATTATAGGCAGGCATATGGCAAACATATGAGATAGCATCCAGGGTAAAAAGAAAGAGAATCTTTAAGGAACTGAAAGAAACCAAATACGATTGGAATTTAGAGAGCAAATGAGCAAACATGAAGCTATAGAGATGGGCATGGAGTAGATTTTCAGGCCTACAAAGACCATGTCTAAAGTCTGTTTTTTACCCTACTGGGCAAAGACAAGCCATTGGAAGGATTTCAGAGAGGGCTGTTTTAGAAGCTTAATTGGATGCTTCACGGAGAACAGAACAGAGGGGGCAGGGGTGGAAGCTAATCTGGGGGAAAAGCTGAATCATCCAGGGCTGGGAGTGGAAAACAGATGCCGTTGCCTTTCTCATCTCGGACACTGAAAAGGTCAGAACCGCTCTGGCTCTCATGCTGGGTTACACAAAACTGGTGCAGGGATGGACATACATATCAACGCCAGCTAACACTCTGGCTACACAATGACCAATCAGGTTTTCTCTCTGAAGGATTTGCACCTACAGATATCCAGAGATTTGGCAGCGAGGTGAGCTGGGTGCTGCTTCTATATCCATGTTGAATAGGATGAGCGAGAGGAGAAAGTAGGTTTACAGAAAGAAGACCAGAGCAAACAGGCAGAGGTAATCCAGAGGAGAAGCCACGTGGCTCCTGAGAAGGAAAGGAAGAGGGAGGGAAGCTTTTGAGGTCCTTCCAGCTTCCGAGGCCCTGTGCAGGTCAGGACAACCAGTCTTCCTGTCCCTAGATTTCGTGAGTTCTCAATTTCCTCACCAACGCTCATTTCACATGAGCTCATTTGGGATTCTTTTCCTTGCAACTAAAAAATTGTCTTGACTAGATTAGATATCTGCACCATGACTGAAGAGATAATTTGACCTCTGTGTAGATTAAAAAAAGTATGTGTGTGTG